GCTGATGAAACAGTGTGATTACCGTTATCCTTTTTTTGTTTTGCTTTACTTTTTAAAACCTTATTTTTGCTTTGCTTTGTTGACACAGGGCTTCCCTAGGTAGTTGAGGCTGGCCTTGGGCTTGTTGGGTAGCCATCCACCTGCCTCAGCCTCCTGAGTGCTGAGATTGCAAGTGTGTCAACCTAGAGTTAAAATAGTAAAATAAAACTAAAAATGCATCCCTTTAGTGCAACTCAATAGTGGGTGAAGAGTAACATCATTCAGGTAGGTCACTACCTCATGTAAGTGACATCACCCCTACTTAGGACAGCAGAGTCCCCTGCGCTGCTGAGGCCCCAGCTTTCTTCCCAGCCAGGGTGAGCCAGAGGACACTCAGCTCTGCAGAAGCCTCTTTTGAGGCTCTTAAAAGGCCTGGATCCCCGAGGGGTGTGCCGGCCCCCGCCCCCAGGATACGATTGAGACTGGGTGTGGTGGCCACTTGTAATCTCAGTGCTTGGGAGGATGAAAACAGGAGACATCTCTAGAGTCCGATCTGTGCAGTGAGACCTGTACTTAATTTAAAAAAAAAAAAAAAAAGGCCTGGATTCAAAACCCTGAGCACAGATCCCAGGAACACCCGGGATACCACAACCATGCTGGCCACTGCACAACAGACTGAGCTGTCACAGCCTCAAATGCATAACCCCAGGTACAGCAGGAACCACTGTCCCAGCCTTACCCAAGAGGAACGTGGCTCCGCCTCAGCGTGCCGACCCCAGGTCCCACGGGTGCGGTATAACACTTTTACTCTACCGCAGCCACACCACCTGGATGTACTGCAAGGATGTGGCCTTTTAATTTGATCCTAATGTCCCCCACCTGCCCACACGTTAAAGCCTCCCCCTCTCCCCTGGGCATTGCCAGAAGCTAGAGGAACCTGTGGAGGTCCCAGTCACTGAACATGTGGCCTTGCAGAGATAGGGGACCTTTCCTTCTGGCTGGGTGGAAGGTGGTGCTGCCTGTCACTGCTGCTGCCACACACCGTGAGCCAAGATGGAGCTTGACTAAGTCACTCCCCTCAGGTATGTGTTACCCGGGCAGGAAGCTGACAACCTGGGCATCACACTGCTGGGTGAAACCCAGGCCAAGCCTTGGCCAACCCAGGAAAGGTGAAATGAAAGCGAGACCTGTGGGGGTCCTAATTAGCAGAGCAGCTGCTGCTTCAGGACTTGGGTTTCAACTAGCAGTGTGAGGGGCTTGTTTTATCTGACCCATTTTACTGCTTTAAATTTTTGGGGGGGGGGCTCGGAATGCCTTCAGGGCAAGTTTGGCTGGCTAGAGTTGTGGGGATCAAACTTCAGCAACCTGAGGCTGACAGCTTTGTGGAAGCAGCCACTTAAAGAACTGAGCTATGGCCAGGCCCCCCATTTTACTGGTTAAACAGTACAGTTTTTATCTTTTAGTAAGATGGGGACATCTTTGTCCCAGGAGGTTGTCAGCTTCCTGTCACCGTAGCAAGTACTTGAGGTAGCAGCGGCTTGGCCAGTGCTTTCTGCCTGAGCTGCTGGCTCAGTGCCTTGGCAGACACGCTCTCCCTCCAGGACCTCAGGCAGCTACATGACCCATAGCACACAGCTGAAGTCAGCTCCCAAGAAGGCTGCAGAGGGGCAGGAAAGATGGCTTCGTGGAATAAGCGCTTCCCTGGCAAGCGCAAGTAAGAAACTGAGTTCAATCCCCGGTTCTGCCAAAAAAAGGAAAAAAAAAAAAAAACCAAGGCTGTGGAAATGAGCTCATCTTAAATGGGGGCTGTCTGGGGTCTTACACTAGTTTTCCGGTATTACAAGTCTTTCTGATGGCTGGATGAGATCACTCCCAGAAGTGCTGTGGGCTGGGGAACAGAGGGTAGAGGTGAAAAGTGAGGTTTGGTCCAGCGTGTAAACTGAACAAATGTTTAGGACCAGAACACAGCATTTTTTAAAATTTCTTTTTGATACAAAGTTATACTGTTTGGACTTGTAGTGATCCTCCTGTCTCAGCCTCCCCAGCACTGGAATTACAGGCGTGCACTACCACTCCCGGTTTCAGTGGTGGCCAGCACAGCATGTGGTACTGGGAATCAAACTTGGGTCTTACGCTTGCCAGACAGGGGTTTAGATCGCTGAGCTAGCTCTTTAGCCCCCAGAACACAGCATTTTTAAAAAGCTGAGCAAGTTTCTTGCATCCTTGAGGACAGCCAGCTAGGTTAAGGCCAGAGACGAGACTCTTAGGGGTGGTGCACCCGCTGAGGGGGTACAGGGTCTGCTGGTCCTTTCCCTTTCCCTGGGCATCTACCTGGGGGAACTGGTGCCTGCGGGGGCTGCTCCTGGCAGGCCCATCTGCAGACCTCCCGGAGTGGGGACCTTAAACCAGGGCTTGTGGCAAGATGAAAACACTCAAGTGCTCTCAGCAGTAAACTGACCAGAAAGCACAAAAGAGGAAAGTGGAGATGACAGTTTCTTGTTTCTCTGTGGACAATAAAATAGGACAAAGGGAACAGACATCAAAATACGACTTAAAATACACTTGAGAGATATCGGGATTAGCAAAGAGAAATACAGATTTGCTGGTGTATGCAGGGTACTCTGCAAGTTTATTCCAATCCAAAGAGTGGAGACAAAAAAAGGATAACACTGCCTGGAAGGTGGAGTACACCTGCATCCCAGCATTTTAGAGGATGAAGCAGGAGGATCTGTGGGATGCCAACTTGGGGCACATGCTCAAGGCCAGCCTGAACTAAACAGCAGACTACAGATCCAGTCTTTTTCTAAATAACACCTAGCTCCACAGAGGCAGAGATGGAGGCAGCTCAGCTGACCTCACTGGCACCCTTGAAAACTCAGTGGTGGTGACCCGGGCCCCGTGCCAGCAAGTAGAGGAGGGACCTCGGTGGTCGCGGCTCCCCACAGAAGACCCCACATGCTCTCAAGATCAGTGCTTCTCTCCCCTAACCGTATTTTTCTCCTTCGTAAAAAATGTTAAGACCTGAAAAGATCACAAGCAGAGCATGCAAGCGCCTGTGGCTGCCTGTGTGCCTGGAGCAGAGACGTGAAGGCCAGCTGACCTGTGTCTTGCACTCCCAAGAGCTGGCGTGGGCCTAACTGTATGAATCTTATGGGTACAGGGCTTCAAAGAACATAATCTCTTAGGTGGACTTAGAATACTTAGTGAGACTTTAACGGCCAGAGCTGGCTCTGGGAACAAAATCCCCTCTGCCCAGAGTTATTTTAATCTCACCCAGAGCTCAGTAATGTTATTCCCTTATTAGAAGTGACTGGGAGGCCCCAGATGTAGCTCAGTAGCATAAGCACCTGCCTGGGAAGTACAAGCTCCTGGTCCTGAGCTGGATTCACATACCATCATACACACAGCACCCAAGGCTCTTTGGAGAGGGGCCTAGGGGTGCTGGAAGTGGAGTTCACTGCTCCCCTAGTCTTTCTGGCCTAAGCCACCCGATTATATCAGCACTGAAACACGAAGAAACGTGTGTGAACCATACAGCCCCCTATGGAGACAGAACTGCCTGCATCCGTGAGCCGTCTGCGGGTCAGGCAAAGTCCTGGGCACAACCTCCATGCGGCCAGCAGGTGCTGGGCCTGGACATAGCTGTAAAGCAAAAAAAGCCTTTGCTTATGCTGTGAACAGCACATGAGCCTTGCTGGCTTCCTTAGGTGGAAAGGTAAAAGAGCCATTTGCAATTCAGGCAACCAAGTGTGACAGTGTTGTGTCCACTGTTCTCCAAAGCCTCATAGTTTTTTGGCAAGTGTTTACATGTAGTGTTAGATTTACAGTGTGATGTGATCAGTCCACTGACTGCACTGACACCTCCCTGACCCTGGTGGACTGGATGTGACATGAGGGGCAGAAGAGGCCTGCCTTGTGCTCTTCTGCTGTCTTCAGCCCAACACAAAGCGTTTCCCCTCTGCCATGTGCCACCCGGCCTTGGAGCCAGCCATTTACGCGCTAAAGCCTCCACAAACTGTGAGCTAAATAAACCTTTCCTCCTTTACCTTTGGGCATCAGATATTTTGTCTCCACAATGAGAGAAAAGTAAGACACCAGGCTAAGAGCATTCCCCAAGAGAAACCACCCTCCTCTGCTCTGCTGAAGACTGCTGGCCTTTAACCTCCCCCCCCCCACCATATATGACTGTAACATTGGGCAGCCTGGACCACTGGTGGTACAAATGAACCGAATCATTTTTATTAGTCTTTTCACTAATGAAATAAAAGCCACCTAATGGGACTGACACACTGTCAGAGACACATGAATCACAGCCCTGTCCTGGATGTGTTAAAAGATGAGCAGGCATCTTGGATTTCCAAAGCAGGAGGATGTATGTACCTTTCAAGCAAAGAAACCCTCCCCAACTTCTGCTTTAGGTAAACATGATAGATGCCCTCCAGGGTCAGACTAAGGCAGCAACAGATACCATAAAAAAAGGAGTACCAGGTACTTTGGGGTGCCAAACAACTCCCTCTCTTCCTCTATAAAAACACACACAGGCAACCTACCCCCCCACTTGGGGCTCCCTCCTCTTCACAGCCTAGGGGCTATCTCCTGGTCTCCACTGAGAAAATCCCTGACTGGAAAATTAAGATTGTTACTGAGGTTTTGTTTTTTTAAATTTATTTATTTATTTGTGTGTGTGTGTGTGTGTGTGTGTGTGTGTGTGGCCAGTTCAGCCCACCAGGGGGCGGGGCTGTCTGGCATGTGGTGCTGGGGGATTGAACCGCGGTCCCTGTGCTTTGCTAAGCTTGTTCTAAGTAGGTGCTTTAGACCACTGAGCCATCTCACCAGCCCCGTTACTGAGTTTAAGTCAGAAAAAAATAGTAAGGAAATTCCTATAACACACACAGAGACTCCCATTTACCTACTTTAGCAATGATTACACAACTGATATCCCCGTTTCTGAGGGATTTCTTCTATACACCAGAATGCTTCCAAAAAAGTATTATCCAATTTTGGGTTTTATTTTATTTTCAAAAGAAATAAAGGAAACAGAAAGTTTGGCTAACTGCCCAACCCTGGGAACAAACAAGTACAAAATCAGACATCTTTGGACATTCAAAGTCCACTCACGTTTTGTGGGAAAGACTAAGGGAGTTGACTAACCCCACTCCCACCCTACGAACCCTACAGTGCGGCTACCACAGTGCGTTAGCTACAGTGGATGTTTGAACTACAGAGGGCCTCAACTGAACATCTACATCGTAAAATGTGGCAATTACATGACAGGTGAACTCATCTCATGAGAGAAGCTGAGAACTATTGCTTGATATCTGTGTAGCAGCTGATGCTCCAGGCCGCCCCTTGGGTTTAGGCAGACACATAGGGTGGCGGTGGCTCCTTGGCAGCACCAGTCACAGTGGTGTCATTGTATGGGGGCAGCAGCACCTGAGAAGAAAAAGGGAAGACACAGTCGTTACATTGGACACACAGTGCCCCCCTGGTTTAGCTACAACTGCATGCAGTGGTATTGCAGGGAGCATTTCCTATACTGGTACCATGTTTGCTATTTCACCACACAGGTAATTTGTGCTCCTACTACTTTCTCCACAGGCCCACACACTGCAGCAAAGGGCTACATGTCCAGGTATGTGGAGAATCGTGAGTGATTTGCACATCAACAGGGCAGGTCCTACTTGAGGTGAGACCTGTGTGGAGTGTGCAGTGGGAACTGCAAGGGCTGGGCATCCACCTGGCCCAGAGCTGGGCTAAGCCACATTTCAGCACCAGTCTTGGGTAAATTACCTCAGCTCAGTTCCTACCCTGTATATCCAGGCGATCCGGAAAGCAGAGGGCTACACACCTGAGATGGTTGGGTGGGTGGCACTCCAGTGGCAGCACATGAGGCACACTGATCCATAACCTACATGGTTATATCTCACTCCAAAGAAATCACCTGCAGTAGCTTAAAAACTGTCACTGGATTATGCTGGCTCTCTTGGGTGTACAAAACAAAAGAGGGACCTGGGATATAGCTCAGTGGCACAGCACCTTTCTCATGTGCAAGGTCCAAGTTTGATTACCAGTACCAAAAAAAAAAAAAAAAAAGATTTGGCTCTATGGGATCACCCTGTACCCAGCTCTGTCTGGTGAAAGGCATCGTGGAGATGAGATAAACATCTCAGCCACTTACAAGAATTCTGAGATGGGCTGGGAAGGTAGCTCAGCAGCTTTAAGTCCCTGCCTGGCAAGGAGAGTTCAATCCCCAGTATGGTGAGGGGGATGGGGGAGAGAGAAAGAATGAACTCTGAGTAGGGTGGAAATGAAGTAAAACCTCATCTACTTCATAAAAAACATCTCACGTACTTCAGAGACTACACAGAAAACATTAATGGGTGCTCGCTTTGGCATCACATATACTAAAATTGGAATGATACAGAGAAGATTAGCATGGCCCCTGCACAAGGATGACACGCAAATTCGAGAAGCATTCCATATTTAAAAAAGAAAACATTAATGGACGAAACCATATTTTGTCATGTTTTATTAATTTCCACTCATCCGTCTATCCCTTAGGCTCCTATAGCAGCAACACTAAAACCTTACATCAACATCTTACTCTCCTAACCTCACACACACGCATCCCCGGCCCCTCCAACTCAGCTCCCTTCACTACCTGTCTTGGGGCACTGGCAGGATTGAGGCCATCTTACTTCACAGAGTGAGAAGCCTTGCGCCTGCCCCATGGTGGGGGCTCAGAAGACATAAACAACTAGGACACCAGCCAAGCTGGCCCTGAAGAACCTTGCTGAGCATGGTGACATATGTCTATGACCTCAGCTTCTAGGAGCCTGAGGCAGGAGAATCACAAGTTCAAGGCCAGCCTGGGTAAGATCCACAAACTCAAATTAAAATAAATTTAATACATGAAGGGAAGAGCACTTGCCTAGCAGGAGCAAGGCCTTTGATTTCCTCACCAGTATCTCAAAAACCAAGAAGACAACAAAAATCCTGCTAGTCCAGTGAGTGGAGAGAGCTGACCCAATCAGAAGTCAGAGGTCACATGAGTGATCAGATCAGAGAACAGAGAGCTGCTGAGGGAAGTGGCTGGAACCCACTAGGTGGCAGCTCAAGACTCGTGTGTCCTCAACTCCTGCAGCCTGCTGTTGACTGCTGCCAGCTATCCATCTCAGAGCGAGCCACTCTCAACAAGATCCAGACCCCGACCCCCAAATGGGGTCGCATGCCTGCAATCCCAGCACTCTGGGAGGCTCGGACAGCAGGACCACAAGTACAAGCCCAGCCTGGACAAACTGGTGAACCTCCGCCTCAAAAAAATTTTTTAGAAGGTCAAGAAAGTAGCTCAGTTCGGGGAGATAGCTCAGTAGAAGAAGGGCTTGCCTGGCAAGCTCAAGGGCCCGAGTTCAATCCCTGGTTCTGCAAAAAAGAAAGAAAAGAAAAGAAAAGAAAAGAAAAGAAAAGAAAAGAAAAGAAAAGAAAAGAAAAGAAAAGAAAGTAGCTCAGTAGAAGTGAGCGTTTTAATCCCCAGTGCCAGAAAAAGTGTAAATAAGTGACTCCAGCAGGGTATAAATCCTCAAGTCATTAAAACCTGGAGAGCCTCGTCTTCAACACCATCTTCTTAGAAACCTCTCTGCCATGAGAGCCAAGTGGAGGAAGAAGCGAATGCACAGACTGAAGCGTAAAAGAATATGAGACAGAGGTTCAAGTAAAATAGCTCGTACACCCCTGGAGGCCAAAGGAGCAGAAATTAAGAATGCTGGAGGCTGACAGTGCTGGGGCAACTTTTGGACTGTGTGCTACCTAGTGTCTCAATGGATTAGGACTTCACTGCCACCTGACTGTCAAGAGAGATCCACCTGGCTCAAAGTAAGCAGTCTCCTGGCTTTTTTTTGTCCCAGACCAGGGGCATTCTGGGCTATTTCTGTTCTCGCTTTTAGGTGAGTGTGAAGAGTGTACAATAAATCATCTCTTCTGTGTTTAAAAAAAAAAAAAAAAACCTGGGGAGGGCTGGCCTGGCAAGCACAAGGTCCTGAGTTTGATACCTAGTACAAAAACAGAAACAAAACCTTGAGGAAGCAATTCCTTCATCAAGTGATAAGAAATGATTAACTGCTCAAAGGAAAAACTTACAGTCATGCTCCACTCACAGTGGAGACGTGTCCCGAGACATGTGTCCCCGGGTGGTCTCCTCCTTGCATGAACTAGACAGCATGAACCCACAGATGGCCACACCACCGCTGGGCAGCCTAAGCTGAGATATGCACTGCGCATGTGTAGTTCACCGCAAACTGCAACAGTTACTCAAGCTCACAGCTGCACAGTACTCACTAAAAAAGCAGGCATGTCGCTGGGTGCTGTGGTGTGCCTGCCACCTATAACCCCAAGAGGCCAGGGCGGGGGGGTCACTGTTGAGTTCTCCAGGCTAGGGGTGGACTCACTAGTTCTGAGGAGCCTGGCACACAGGTCCCACACACTGTAGACAAGCTACAGACACTCGGCACAGCAACTGGGGGATGGGGGTCTGAAAAGTTCTAACCCACAACTAACAGGCAAGAGCTTCCACACAACTAGAGAACAGAGTGCTGTCCAGCACCGCAAGGACACAAGTGTGTCCAGGGAAATGGGAGCGATCCCTTCGTCGCCTGTCACATGCTTTGCACCCCAGCATCTGGCTCGAGCTCCCCGGTACAGCTCTCTCATTACCACTCCCGCTCCTCTTCCCCGGGTCTTCCTCTCCTGCACAATTTCTCCTACTTCATCTCACCACAGGGAACCCAAACATACCAGCATGATGATCTCAACTTTTCCAGCCCTGCGTTCTCTTCTTCTTAATTACACTGCAAAGTTACAGCCAGTGAATTAGTTCTTGACAGTGACATATTTCTAGTCTCTGCAAGTAGAATGAGTATCAACTCACAAGAATAACACAAAAAGCAAGAGTAGAAGAGTGTGGCCCTTCCTACCCAGATGCTGTACCGCTTCCCTGAAATACTTCCCAACCACAGACTCAGAAATCAGACTGGGGCTCCAACTCCAGCGTCTCGATCTGTGGAGCCAGGCTCAGCAGGTCTTCACCCGACACCACCTTCCGTTCTCTTCCATGTGGGGCAGGCCTGTGACAGCGCCTGCTACCAGACAGGCTGCAGCCCACGTGGGCCTGGTGGAGCCGGCATGCTCCTCTCCGCCTGCAGTGTCCTCTATATCCATGCAGCTCCACTCCTTCCCAAAGAAATGGTCAGCAAACAGTTGATTCAAATTCATTCACACGGCGTAAGAAAGAAGTTCCCTTCCCTCTCTCAGCTCCTACAGCTGAGAAAGTCTGGTGTATCAAGTAGGCAGCTCGGCAGTTGCTCTGAAGGGCTCCTAGGCCTAGCTCCTGGATGGGAGGAGCACGGCTGCTCAGCCAGTCTGCTGCATCTGACAGAAATGGGCTCCTAGAAAGGTCAGAATGCTGGTAGGGAAGGTGTCCTCCAAGGCCAAAGCTGGTGGTTTCCACAGGAGTGCTGGGTGCAGTGAAGGCAAAGGGCAAACACAGCCCCAGTAAGTGTGACACACCCTTCCCTAGGACCCTCAGGTTCTGCTGGGAATCAGGACTGCTTTCCCTTTGGGAGCAGCGCACTAACAACCAGCCCCTACAACCTGGATTTCCCAGCCCCATCTGCACCCCTCCCTCCTCCTCTGCCAAAGGTAAAGGAGACAGGGAAACCTGGCCTTTCCTGTGCCCTGCCTGCCTGCCTGCCTGAGCACTGACAGAGGCCAGGTGTGGGCTGAAGATATTCAGGGTCCCTAGGGGAGCCACCATGGGAGAAAAGCACCCAGGTCACCTGTGCCACACTAAGGCGCAGGCAGTAACTGCATCTGGGGAGCAGGGTGCAGAGGGAGAAGAGGAGTGGGAACAACAGGCAGGATCCAGTGGCGTATTCACAGCACACTCAAGGCTTTTACTCTGTGAAAGCACTCCCCAAATGTGGAAAAGGGAGAAATATGGTGATAAATGGGGGTTTGAGCTGAAACAAGAAACCTAACCTAGAATGGCAAAAAAAGAAATTTCAGGAGTTGGTAAGTGGGCTGGGGGAGGGTGCGCAGGAAAGGTTAGCAGAGTTCAGCTCAGGGAGGGCCTGTCCAGCCTGCAGCTGGGAGTGGAAGGAGGCCCAGCCCTAGGCAGGTGGCGCCCACCCTTGTGTTTTGGGGAAAGAGAAAAAATATGCTGGGGTGGGGGGATGGATTGGGACTCTGGTCCTCAGCCCCAGCCACTGACAGACAGCACAGCAGAAAGAGCCCTTCGAACTCTTTCAAAAAGGCACCAGTGTGCAGGCTGCAGCCACAAATCCACTGTGGTAACTTCACAGAAGGGAGGGGGTTCCTCAGTCTGCACCCACCTACAGAAAGAGCAGTGGACTCACTGGCAAACTCAGCTTCTGAATGCT